TCCCTGCCCCGTGGCCAGGTGAAGTCCCAGGCACGGCTGTCCCAGCTGCTCTGGGACAGCTGGGCTCCGTGACCGGCGCTCCCACATGGGAAAGGACAAGCCTCTGTCTGGGAGTGGGCACAGCATGTACCCTCCTAGTCCAGAAGCCAGACTCCAGGCCATGCCACCTGTGACCTCCCTTCCTCTGACCCCAGTGGCCAGCCTCCCCTGGGCCCCACCATGGTTCCAGCCACCCCTTCCCTGTCCTCATTCTTTCCCTGTCTGTGACCTCAGCTCTCCTGGCTACAGGCCCGGGGGGGCACAGCCCCCACTGCCTCCTTTCCACCTCGCACTCCCTTCCTGCGCCCGCTCAGCCAAGACAGCGGACATTCCCAGCCTCCTGACCCCCGGCCCCTACAGACCCACTACCGGCCCTCTCTAACTCTGGGGTAGGGGGGCCCCCCAGTGTCCCTTCTCTTTGCTACTAGAGCAGGCCCGACCTGGGTCCCTTGGCCCCACTGTCATCCCTTCCCACGTACCCTCCAGGACAGCCAGTCCTAGCCCCAGGCCCACCTCCGCCCTGGGGTGGGAGCCCAGCTGGTCCCTGGACAGGGCAGGGGTGTACAGACGCGAGATCTCCAGCAGGACCTGGCCAGAGGCCGGGGCACCCCCTTGGGAGGGCAGGTGCGTGGAAGGGGAGGCAGGGTCATCCCTGGCGATGGCCGGGACCCGCTCGCCCACTGGAGCCCGCGGCCAGAGTAACTTCCAAGCCCGAGACCAGCGGCTGTCAGACTGGGCTGCTGCTTTCCCTCTAGCGAGTCTCTTCCCACTGCCCATCAAGGCCTTGCTGTGCCCTGTCCCCCGAGGCGCTTCTGTCCCCACACTCCTCCCCCAGCAGAAATGAACACTTGGTGCCAGGAGGAGCCGGCTCGTCCGCCCGATGACCCTCGGGGTGGGTGAGGGTGGCAGGCCAGGCCGCGCAGCCGGCTCCCAGAGCACAGGTTCTAGCCCAGGTGGGAGCGGGGCGCCCTCTCCTCTCACTTAACCCTGAGGCCCCTCGCCCGGAGAGCTGGCCGTGGTCCTGGGCTCTCAGGACCGACAGAGCCACCGTGGACGGCATCTAGCGGAGGCCGGCCAGGAGCCCGGGGAGCAGGGTCATGCAGGCCCCTGGAGGGCCTCCCCTGGTGCCATGATGGGGGCCCGTGCCAGGGTGCCCGCTGCCCGGCCCCACAGAGCCCAGAGCCCCCCAGCCCTTCCAGGTGACCACCCTGGTGCTGGGCCTGCTCAGAACTGTGGTCGCCTCCCCTTGGAGTCACCTTGGGCCCCCAGGGAAAGGCAGGAGTTTCCACCTCAGGGGCAGGCTTAAGCCAAGGACCAAGGACTCGAGCCCTGGGCCACAGTAGCAGACTTACTCTCCTCTGTTGGGACCAGGAACCCCTGTGGACGCCGGGACCAGCCTGATGCGGCCCTGTCATAGAGCCAAGAAATCTTCCAGAGTCAGGAGACTCCACTGGGCCCTGAATGAGCAAGGCTCTGCCCAAAACTGTCCTTCGGGCTTCCGGGTCTTTGGGAAGAGGGACACCCAGGAGGGCCTATCTGTTAACCTGCCCAAAGCCCTCTCCCCCAGCCCTCAGACAGGTGACGGGCAGGCTCCCCAGTGCCAGCGTCCAGCACGGACAAACCCCCCATCCCCCAACCCCATGTCAGCTGAGCAGCCCCCGCTCCCCCCCCACCCCCGGTGCAGCAGAGACGGCCCAGCTCAGAGCTGCTGACCACACAGGGCTCAGCTCCGAGCACAGTGAATGGGGGCAGGGGGGAATGCAGAGAGTGCAGGGGGAGTCCTGTGACTGCAGAGGAGGCAGGGAGGGCCGGCTAGGCCAGCTCCTGGATGCCCCCTCCCGCCTCCCAGATCTCCATCACACACCTGGACCCTGCAGCCCAGGAGTCACGGCTCCCCCTGCCTCCTCCACCTGCCGGCCCAATAGACCCTGTGGCACCTGTTTCCTGAGCCCCGAAATTGTCCCTCAGGCCCTCGGGCTGGGCCAGGCCCAGGCCTCCACCTTCCCCCCCATCTGCTCAGGGTCACCTTGAGGAAAGAACGGGTGAGGGCCTGGAGGGGCCCCTGTGGGAGGGCCTGAGAAGGTCCAGAGCAGAGGGCAGGGAGGGGCCTGAGGCCCTCCGCACAGATGGGGAAGCTGAGGCTCAGGAAGGCGGCCACAAGCCAGGATCCCCCTGTCCCTGCCCAACCAGGTCACCCTGCTCCTTTAGCCGTCTGCTGGGTTGCCCCAGCAGGAGCTGCTGGGTGGCCTGGAGGGTCTCCTGGAGGAGACCACTCCCTCCCAGAGTCCTGACCCCACTCTCAGAGACCCCAGACAAGAGCGGCCACCCCACCCTGCCCCAGAGGCCTCCATGAGAGTGGGTGTGAGGTCAGGCCCCATACTCCATCGTATTTACGGAAGGCCACCTGGGCCATAGGGGGACCGAGCAACCGAGTCCCAGGCTCAGGCCTCTGGACCACGCCCACCCCCGCAGCATTCCCCGCCCCACTGGTCACTGCCACCTGGGGGAGAAGGGACACGGGGGACAACTGGCCTGCTGCTGCCCTCCAGGGAAATGGCGGAGGAGGACGCGGTCCCTGACGCTGGGTTTGAGGACAGGACACTGGGACTCCCGGGAGCCACTCTGTCCTCAGGAGGACCTCGTCCCACCAGGATCTGTGGGACCCCCGGGGGTCTGGTCACAAGGGCCCTTCCTGGCAGGTTAGCCCAGCCTTCCCAGATGAGAGCTGCTCAGGCCCATATCTCCAGGATCCTGCTGTCCTGGGTCACCTCTTCCCCCCGACTCTGGGTCCCACCGCCCTGGGTCAACTTACTACCTCACCCCAGCCGTAGGCTCACCACTGGAGGAGATGTCCTTGTCTCAGGGCAGCCTGGGCTGCTAAGGGACCTGCAGCCCAGCCACACAGAGAGCCACAGGCCTCCCTAAGGTCAAAGGGCTGCCAGCCCAGTGCCCACCTGGGGGTGCAGCCTTGTCCCCCAGGCCTTCCTCCGCATTCCTCTTCCTGCCCCTGTCCCATCCTGGAGGGAACTCCCAAACCGATTCCTAGGACAGCCCAGGGGCACTGCAGACTCTTGGGGTCAGCACCCCAAATCCTGCCTGTTCTGATGGACTGTTGTCCCACAGCCCAGTCCGTGGATGGCACCCGAGGAGCAGGGGTGGAGGTGGGAGTCTCAGGCCAGCCTCTGCCCCTCCCCTGCACCACCGCCTCTCTACCCTGCACTGCCGCCCCCCTCCCCTGCTCCACCGCCCCCCCCCACTCCCATTTCCCTCTCAGGTGTCTCCTGTCTCTCCACCCCACCCCCTCACATTGACCTCTGCCCGGAGCCCCCTGCCAACTCAGGAACCCACCCGGCTGCCCCCCAAGGCCGCCTAGCTGAGGGGCCCCCAGAGTGCTCCAGTCTGCACTCCCCTACCCACCCAGGGAGGGCGCCTCAGGTCCCTGGCCTGGATGTCAGGGCTGCAGTGCAAAGGTGCGGGGAGGGGGAAGAAGAGGCTCCAGACCCGCGGCTGCCCAGCCCCCTCCACCCGGCAGCCCACTCTCAACCCTTCCACAGAACTGCCACACTTGTTTTTCCAGGATTTCTGAGATCCCAGCCTCCCAAGGGGAGACTAGGCCAGTCCCACCAACACAGGCTCAGCCCCCGGGCAATGGCCCCAGGGCAAGGGGCTAGCCAGGGCTGGAAGCCAGTGGGGACTGCGGTACAGATGTCCCCACCCTGCTAGGACTCCTTGGCCTGGTACCCGCACTCCTGCCCTCACAAGGTGGGTGGCCGTGCTCATGCTGGTCCCATTCAGAGAGCTGACCTGACCCCACGCCTCCCCCTTGATCACTTCTGAACAGCCTTGGGGCCGGTCCAAAGCCAGAGGCCAGGGTTGCCAAGAATCCAGCTTCTGGGCAGAAGCCCTGGGATGGGGGTCTGCACCCCGCGAATGGGCTGGGCCTGTGTCTGCAGATGACCAGCCCCTGACCCCCCACTGACCACAGCTACCAACCCTCCGTGTCCGCACAAGAACTCTTTCCCCTGCCTCATTTCCCCTCCCAGGGCCAGGGCCCTGCCTCCTTGCCTCCCCCAAGACACTCACACCTCTCCTGCTCACAGTGGCCAGAGCTGCCCTGCGCTGAGCCCCCACCAGCCTGGGATGACCTGGGGCTGAAGCAGAAGGACAGGGTCACCTGTGAGGGCTCAGTAGGGCGCAGGACCTCAGAGACAGCCTGTCCACCCAGCCTGCGGGCAGGGAGACACCATCTCTGTGTGCAGCGGTTAACAGCCTGAGACCCCCATGGCACTCCCGGGCTGGACTGCCGGGCAAGACCAGTGTAACTGGAAGCTCACACAAAGGGTGGGCTTGTGCCCAAGGCTGGGGGGCCCCAGGCTGAGAAGGGTACCCAGGGGGACCCCAGCCACAGCCCTAGCAGCCGGCTGTGGGGGAAGCTGTGCCCAGCACGCCTGGCCTTCGGGCCCCACTTGGTTACCTTGGTTACTGCGGTCCAACTGGGCTGTCACCATCCAGCCCACTGGGCCTTTCAGAACCAAACTCATACAATGCAAGTCCCCCCCCCCCCCGGGGTCCCTGGGCAGTGAGAGAGAATGATGGGAGGGCTTGTGGGAGGGAGTCCCAACCCCAGATGAGACAGGCTCAGAGGTCCCAGGCAAGGCAGTGCCAAGACATGGGTTCCCTACCCCCATCCGGGCTGCTGGGCGGCATCTCTGGGACTGGAGAGAGGACCAGCCTCACAGGAGCCTCTGCCCTCACTCAGCGGCAGGTGGCAGGGCCCAGGCCGTGGTCAGAGTCTCTTACATAAGCGGCCCTGCGGGGGGCGGGGCTGCAGCTGGCCTCCAGCGCCCTGTCCTCCCCCAGCATCACGGCATCAGGCATCACGAGCCTCCAGTGGGCTGTCCCTGGGCCCTGGGTGGAGGCCAAGCCAGGCCCATATATAGGGGTCTCTCCAGTGGCCTCTGCTCCTCCTGCCACCTTCCTCCCTCTGCCTGCGCGGCTGGAATCACAGGCCCTGGTCACACACTCAGCTCCAGGACAATGGCTGCTCTGCACACGCTGCGGATGGGACTGGTCCTGCTGGGGGTCCTGGGAGTCCTGCAGACGCGGGCTCAGCCCCAGGTCTCCCTGCAGCCCAACTTCCAACAGGACAAGGTGAGGGGCTCCCCTGCCCAGTCCCCCAGGCGGCACAGGGCCCTGTCAGGGGAGGGGGGCGCTCTCTGGGGCCGAGATGTCTTCCTGGGAAGGGAGCTGAGCAGAAGGAGGCTGACCAGAAGGGCCCCGGTCCCCGGGCCTGCGGCCGTCCGCCAACCCAGAGAGCAGAGCCGCGGCTCCCCGGCCCGCAGGGAAGCACGCGCGTCCGTGAGCGCGCACACGCCACGTGCGGACACGCGCGCCCGCGCCATCCCCGCGCGTCCCCCTCTCCGCCAAGCTCACGACGCCCGAGGGAACAGGCGCACGTTCCACACCTGGGTCCCGGGTCACACGGTGCGAGCGCGCGACGGGGACTGCCACCCGGACGGCAGCGCAAACCCGAGCGTCGCGCGCGCCCCGCGGCCGGCCCCCGGCAGCACGGCCCGTCCCAGCCCCTCTAGAGACGCCCCGGCGGCCTCTATCGCCCCCTCCAGCCCCGCTACCAGCCGGGCCGGACCGGGGGCGGGGCGGGGCCGGGGGCGGAGCCCGGCTGGAGGCCGTGGGGGTGGGGAGGGGAGGGAAGGGGCGGGGGCGGGCTCCCGGGCTCCCCCAGTCCCACTCCCCGCCGCCAGCCAGGCCCGCCCTCGAGGGTCCTGGCCGACCCAGGCGGGTCCGTTCGCCGCAGTTCCTGGGGCGCTGGTTCACCTCGGGCCTCGCCTCCAACTCGAGCTGGTTCCGGGAGAAGAAGAGCGCGCTGTCCATGTGCGTGTCCGTGGTGGCCCCGACTGCAGACGGAGGCCTCAACCTCACCTCCACCTTCCTCAGGTGGGGCGGCGGGCCGGGCTCTCCCCGCCCCAGGGCCACGGTCTAGGGACAGCCCCTGGCCTGACCCCTGACCCCCTCGGTGGCCTGCCCGCAGGAAAGAGCAGTGTGAGACGCGGACTCTGCTGCTGCGGCCGGCAGGACCCCGGGGCTGCTACAGCTACACCAGCCCGCGTGAGTGGGGCCCCCTCTAGGGCCCCCTGGGTCCAGCTCGGGCCGGGAGCCCCCCACCTCGCGCCAGCACTACAGGGGGCTGGCTGGTGGCCCCTCCACGGGGGTCTGCTAGCCCACGGTCTGGCCTAGACCTGCCCAGGCTCAGGTGGGGGGTCCACGAACCCTCTCTCGGGCACTGGGTCCTCTTTGGGGCTGACCTCCAGGCCCCTCCCTGCCCCCCATAATGGTATTTCCTCAGGTGAAGCACACACGAGTAGCCCCCCAATGCCTCCCCTCACTGCTCCCCACGGTTTCCCAGCCCAGGAGCAGGGCCAGGAGCCTCTTCACCCCCCACCCCACCATTTACCCCTTCCTTGGGGACGGCTTCCCCCTGGGAAATCTTTCCTCTTCTTCCCAGTTCTGGCCAAGGGGTTTGTGGGTGCACCGTGACCCCTAATGTTCTGATCCTGTGTGTCTGCTGACCTGGATTTCCGGCTGGAGGACCCTGGACCTGCAGAGTTGAGGGTTGTCTGGCAGGAAGCTGGGGGCCGGCCACCTGTCTCTCTCGGAGGGGCGTCTTCCCCGGCTCCTTCCCACAGCGGGCCCAGGGAGAGAGCACCCCTTACCCGGCAGAGGTGGGCCGGAGGTCTGGGATCAGGGTTCCCAACCCGGCTTCCCTCCCGGCTTCCCAGACTGGGGCAGCACCCACGACGTGTGGGTGGTGACGACAGACTATGACGAGTTTGCGCTACTCTACACCGCGGGCACCAAAGGTCTGGGCCGGGACTTCCACATGGCCACTCTCTACAGTACGCACCCCACCTCGGGACTTACAGTCTGGCCTGAGATGGCTGCCTGCAGGGGGGCTCCCCAGGCTGCGGGGGAGGGGCCGCCTGGGTCCTCCCCCACCAGAGGCCAGCGGCGGCTTCTCCTTCCCACCGCAGGCCGCACCCAGACCCCAAGGGCCGAGATAAAGGAGAAATTTAGCACCTTTGCCAAGACCCAGGGCTTCACAGAGGACACCATTGTCTTCCTGCCACAGACCGGTGAGGGGGGTTGCTAATCTGATGGGGAGGGGATTAAGGTCAGATCTGAGGCAGACAGTGTCCTGATTCTGGGGGCATGGTGCATCCGGCCAGACCGCCCATGGACCGTGATCAGCACACTGTGGCCTCTGGACTGGAGGCAGCCTGTCCTCACCCCAGACCTTGGCCTGCAGCCCCTGGGCGGGACACAGGAAGGTACTCCTTCTGCAGGAAAACCCCCCTCCCACCTCCCCAGTTCCAGGCCCCTGGTCAGCCCTCGGGACACAGGGTCCCCAGCATGGTGGGAGGTGGGCACTAGAAACATTACGGGGGGGGGGGGATGTTACAGGAACACACAGGGGCTCAGGGCCCAGGGCTTCCCTGAGGCAGGCAGCCTGCTCCGGCCCAGCTGGGGACAGGACTCCTCCCACCTTGGAGGAGTGTGATGGACTCAGTACTTTTGGGGGTGCTCGACTAGACCAGTTCTCCAGGGCTGCCAAGAGGGGGTGGGGGAAGTGGCCCTGGCCTGGGGCACTGACCACAGTCCCTGGGGGTCTTTCTTGGCAGATAAATGCATGGAGGAGCACAAGTAGGTGAGTGTGGCCAGCTGGGGGCTGGCCTCATCCAGCAGTCCCCGCTCACACCTGCTGGTGCACGCACTCCCCCCACCCCCCATGCAAGGGTGGTCCCAGGCACATGGGGCTGCCCAAGGGGGAGGGGCTCCACGAGATTCCTGGGGGTTAGAGGAGCTGGAGGCTGGGATAGGAACTGGCGGGGTCCATGGGAAGGGGGTTCCTGGAGAAGCTCGCTCCCCTGTGGCCGGGGAGGGGGGCAGTATTGCCTGCCCCACCCACTGGTCCCACTCTCTCTGCCAGGTGACCCCGGCCCTCAGGACCTGGTCATCCTGCCCTGCTCTGCTCTCTCCTCCAAGACCCCTGAGCTCCCAGCCCTGGCTCCTCCCTGCCCCCACCTGTGCCTCCTCAGGCTTCCTCCTGGCTCTGAGAATAAACTCCAGAAGCAAATCAGCATCGAGCTCTTGCCCGTCTGTCCTGTGGTCCTCGCTGCCCACGGCCTGGCTCTGGCCCTCTCCCTGCGGACCTGACCACACCCCACTCACTTTGGGCCTCAGTTTCCCTCCCAAAGACTTTCCCAGAAAGTCTCTGAGCCTGGCTCTTTATGACACCCCCGAGGGGTGGGCAAGGGGCCGCTAGTGTTTGTTCCTGGTGCGGCGGGTCCGAAGCAGGGACCAGCCCCATCGCGGCCCTCCCCCAGTTCACCGCGGCTCTGACCTCGCCACAGCCCCTCCAGCCAGCTGCTTCTGGGCTGGAGCCCATCGCCTCCTACACCCTGGACAGCTGCCCCCTCACTCCGAGTCTGGAGGCCTGAGGCCCCGGGGAGCTTTGCGCTCGCCGGGTTTTTGAAGGCGTGGGGTCAGTACCTCAGACTGGGTGGAGATCAGGGACCCAGAGGACAGAGAGGAAGGTGGCCACCCTGTCTGCACCCCACACACTGGCACCCTCACATCTTCTCCAGCCACATGGTGCCTCCCGTCCTCTGTTCTCCAGCCCCGCACTTTCAACAGACCCCTGTCACCAAAGCCACCCCTGCGCCCCAGAGCACGGCCTCCCTGACCAGCTCTGCCCTGCCCTGCACCCTCCTGGTTCACAGTGGGCAGCACCCCCCGCATCCCGCCCCCCAGCACCCCCAGCCCCAGCAGACTTCAGCCAGGCCCTACAGAGGCACCAAGAGTTGTGAGGCCCAGAGATGAGGATGAGAGCTTCTTGGCAGGCTTCCTGGAGGAGGGGGACTGGGGTGTGTGTCCCAGCGGAGAGCTGGGGGCAGACATATCAGAAAACCTGTCTGAAGATCTCCCCTGGCCTGGCTGGATCTGAAGTCTCAGGAGGAAAGGCCACCGGGGGTGGGCAGGTCTCTGAGCACCTGACTGGGCCAGGTCCCTGCAGGGGACAACCAGATGCCAGCCTAATCTCAGTGGGCTTGGTCCTGGGCCAGGAGGCCGGCCCCCCAGGGCATTCAGGGCTCGTAAAGCCTGGGCTGGAAAGGCCACCTCAGCTGTCCTGCTAAGAACCATCGTCCACGACGCTGCACCTGCTGGTGGCCGGCTGGGTCTTCGCCTTGCTCGGGGTGTCACCAGGCCAGGCCGAGGTCCCCATCCAGCCCGACTTTGACGCCAGCCAGGTGGGCCCAGGCACCCCCATGCCAGACCCATCCCCTTCTCCTCAGGGATGACCACCCTGGCTGCTCCATCCAGGTCCAGGGGCCGGCATTTTCCCCAGAGAGGCTGGAGGCCAGAGGAGCCCAAGCCTGCCCACTCTCTGGCCCAGGCTCAGCTCAAACTGGGGCGGGGCGCAAGGGAGAGAGCCCCATCCACCTGCCCCATCAGCTGGGGGTGGGCCAGGCGGGGCAGGACAGCAGCCCCTCAGGCCGCTCTGTGGTTCCGTCTGTGCCTCGTGCCCTCCGCCACTCCCGAGGCCTCACATCAGGACGAGTGGCAGCCGCCGGCCGCCATGCTGGGTCAGAGTTGAGGTGGGCACAAGGCTGCCCCCCAGCTCTCCCTGCACCCTCCCTGTAGTTCCAGGGCACCTGGTATGTGGTTGGGGTGGCATCGGATGACCAGGGCTTCCTAGACTCCAAGGACAACCTGAAGATGCCCGTGGTCTTGGTGACCCCCTTGGCAAACGGTGACCTGGCCCTCAAGTTTGGGTACTCTACGTAAGTGACCCCATGAGCCCCACCTCAGTCTGGGCCTTAGACCTGGCCACTGTGAGGCCAGAGGTGAGCCGCCTGGGACCAGAGGCATCCCTGACTCCGTAGGAACTTGGACCCAGGCCCCCGCACAGTCAGGCAGCGAGCTCAGATTCCTGTGCCCATGTCCCAGCCATGGAGGAGTCCCGTCCCTGTGTCTGCATGTGGGAGTCTGCTGGGGAGACCCCACATCTCCTGGCTGTCTATCCGGCCCCCAGCCCCTGAGAAAGTCTCTCACCTCTGAGCACAGGGTGAGGGGGGCCTCGGGGAGCCAGGCAGCCTGAGCAGCGGCTGACCCTGCGTGGTCAGCAGTACCCAAGATGTGGCCCTTCGCGACGCCTTTGGGGAGTGTCTTCAAGACGCTCAGACGCCGTGGTTCCTCCCCCCCACCCAGGCCTGATGGCGGGTGCCAGAGGTGAACACGACCTTCACTAAGGGTGCTGTGGATGGGCAGTTCAGCAACAATGGTGAGAGGGGGGTGAGGCCCGGGAGGGCTCGGGGCCAGGCTGTGGGGGCGTGGGGGTGGGACCCCCCCCCCCAGGCAGCAGGCTCAGCCGGCTCTTGCCCTCCAGCCTTGGCGCAGACGGACATCCGCGTGGCGTCCACCGACTACGAGCATTTCGCAGTGCTGTACGTGGAGACGCAGAAGGAGGGCGTCAGGAGCGTCTGGCTGCAGCTCTACGGTGAGCAGCCCAGCCCGGGGGTGCTCCCAGAACCCCTGCGCCCCCACCGGTCCCCAGGCACAGGTCTCTCCTCTAGGAGCCCTGCACCCAAGGCTGGTCGGGACCGTTGTCCACATGGCAGCAAGTTCCAACTTCACGCAGGGGGAACTGCCGTCCTCCAGTGTCTCCTTGGGACCCTCGTGTCTGTGGTAGAGGGCTCCGGACCCCTCCCCACCCAGCCCCTCCTCCCTGCCCCGCCCCGCCCCATCCTCCTCCAGACCAGCCCCCACCCCCGCCTGACCCCTCTGCTCACTGATGCTCCCTGCCCTCAGCCCGCGTCCCGGAGCTGTTTCCCGAGGACGTCCAGAAGATGCAGCAGCTGGAGCCCCAAGTAGGCCTGAACCCCAGCCAGGGTGCCCTGCTGCCCTCATCAGGTGAGAGCCGCCCCCAGGCCGGCTCAGGGCTGCGGGAGACCCCAGACTCCAACGGGGAGGGCCAGATCGCGCCCTCCAGATGGTGCTCGGTGCTTGGTGCTCGGTGCTCGGTGCTCACACACAGGCTGCGAGGCTTGGTTATTCAGGGAGGGTTGGGGGCCTCCCACCCCTGGGCAGGGGCCTGGCTGGTTCCTCAGGCCCCACTCTCTCCCACAGACCAGTGTGCTGGGGCCTTCTCCTAGGTGAGTACCCAGGGCCAGGCCTGGACACCCCTCCCCAGACCGTGCAGTGCCCCGTGCCCCATGCCCCAGGGTCCCTCCTGGCCAAAAGGCTGCACAGTGGGGGTCCTCATCCTGGGAGCAAGGTGGGGACCGTCCCATGGAATCAAGGGGGGAGAGCAAGCAGCAGTGGGGAGGAACAGAGTGGGAGCCCTCGGCCTGGGCCCAGGCAGGGCAGGAGGAGGCAGGAAGACGGTGCTCACCCCACTCTGCCTGCTCTCTTGTTTGCAAGGAAGGACCCGGCCCGGGAGCGCCCACCGTGGGGGGCCCACGCTCCACACACGCTAGGCCTTCCCCAGAGAGCACACACCACTTCTCTCTGCCATCCCTTCCCCAGCACAATAAATCATCTCCTGAAGCCCACGGCTGTGCATTTTTTCCACGGGGTTCTGGGACCAGGGAGGGACGCCCTGCTGGGCTGGCATGGGCCGGCGCTCAGCCCCTGGGGGAGCTTGGGCTCCGCTGCGAGGAAAGCTTACGCAGATGCAGAGGGACGCCACGGGGCCTTCCCTGCCACTCGCCAAGCCCCCACCCTGGACTGGGGTGTGGCCCTTGCTCAGCTCATTAAGGATCTGCCTGTGGCTCAGGTCAGGATCCCAGGGTGCTGGGATCGAGCCCCGCATCGGGCTCCCTGCACCGCAGGAAGCCTGCTTCTCCCTGTCCCGCGCCCCTGCTGTGTTCCTGCTCTCACTCTCTGACAAATACATAAATAACATCTTAAAAAAATAGGATAAAACCTCAGCCCCGTCCTGCCAGACTTGCTGCTTTAATTGGGGTCCTTCTGGGCTGGGTCGTCACAGGCATAAATAGCCCCACACCCTGAGAGCCCCTAACAGCCTCCTCCACACCTGCTCCCAGCACCTGGCCCGGCCCATGCCTTTGCTGCCCTGACCCACAGCCAGCCTCTGGCCCCCTGTGGACGCTCAGAGGCAGGGGCCTGCCCCGTCTCCTCCCGGCCCCAGCTTGACCCAGTCTGGAACTGAAGCCCTGGGGGTCAGGACGAGTGTGTGGAGGGGCCAGAGACCCAGTCCCCGCCCACACGTGTGACTTGTGAGCTCACCCACCCACCCACCCCTCCTCCCGAGTCTTGGGCAAGGTGCCATCTGGCCACCTAGAGGGGCGTCTGCTGGGAGATGCTGTCGGAGCTCCAGGCGACACATCAGCAGGTCAGTGGGCCGGTCAGTTGTCATTTGGCTTCCATGGGGACAGGAGAAGAAGGGGTGGAGGACGCTAGGGCAGCAACACAAGGGTTTGAAGTAGAGAGGCGGGGTGCTTGCTCTCCTGGGGAGTAGTGTGGGACGTCTCACCACCAGCCTCTGCACTCCCAGCAGGCTCTGGTCCCCTTGTCCTCCCCCACTGATCCCTCCTGGGGAGGATCTGGAGTGGGGAGAGGCAAATTGCCCCTCATGGCCTTCTGGACACCCTTTCCTCAGAGAGAGGCTCCGCTCTGGGGTGGGGCAGCCCCATGGGGCCTCTGGATCCCAGGAGGGCTGTCCCCCCGCCAGGCACCTGCAGACCCGCCTGGGGCTCATGGTCTCGTCCTGCACCACCCCGCTCACACCGCACGGGGGCAGCCCACAGCCGGTTCTCCGCCCAGAAGCCAGGGCTCTCGCTGATAGGAAAGGCCGAAGTCCTTAGGGGCCAAGAAGGCCGTCCCTGACCGGCCCTCCTCTGACCCCACCACCCACCCTCCTTCCTTCAGCCCTGCTGACCAGCTTGTGTCCCTTGAACAAGCCGGCCCCGAGTGGGCCACAGAGCCAAGATGCATGAGTCTCCTGCCTGCGGGGTCTCCTCCCAGCTCTCCGCTTGGTCTGCTCACTCTGCTCTGCTGGAATCTTTTGTTCAAATGCCACCCTGTGTGCCCCTCCTTAGGCCTCTGGGACCCCAAGCCCTGGCTGCCCTCCCCCGGCACTGTGGCTGGAGCCTTCCTTAGCCGCGTCCCTTGCCCGCCTACCTTGTGCCCACACCCACGTTCAGTCAGCCCTGCAGGAGGCCTGCGGGGCTGAAGACCTGGCAATCCAGCACGTTGTCCAGATATTTGTGTAATTTTTTAAAGTTAGATTTTTCGGTTTTCTTTTCACGTTTTGCAACGAATCCCTGCTCCCGGTCTTGAACTAGCTCCCTGGGGAACCTGTGACAAATTATCACAAATTTGGTGGCTTAAAACCTAACATTTACCTTCCTTCTCGTGGTTCTGGAGGCCAGAATCAGTTTCCCTGGGCCAAGATCGCAGGACAGCAGGGCCACACCCCCACTAAGGCTGGGGCGGGGGTGGGGGGTGGGGGGGGAGCCTTCTTGCCTGTTCTACCTCTAGGTGGCGGCCACCAGCCCCGACTGGTAGCTGCATCAGCAGGGCCTCCGGCCCCCTGGCCACAGGGCCTTCTCCTCTTCTTGGTGAAACCTCCCTCCGTCTCTCTCTTAAGGACACCTGGGGCTGCATTCAGATGCGCCAGGAAACCCTCCCATCTCAAGACCCCTACCCACAACCGCACAAGCCCCTTCCCCACGGAAGCTGACCCTGACAGCGGTCATTCAGCCTGCCCCATCCTTCCTGGAAACATTGTTCGGGCCCCAAGCACTGAGCCTGGAGGGGCTGATGTTTCGAGCGGTCCTCGAGGCTGGGTACTCCACACTCACATCCCAGGGGATGGTCCCCCGCTAGAGGCTGGGCACACGGCAGCCTCTGCCATCTCTGTCCCAGCTCATATAGCAAAGCAGCAGCCCCTCCCCAAACCCGCCCCCGCCCAGCGGTCCCAGGGAACACTGTTTCCACACCCACCTCCTGCAGCTTTCAGCCGTGACCCCTCCTTCCCTCGCCCCGGACTCTCTCCCCATGCTCTCTGAGCCCCTGGCCCAGTGTCCATCAGCTCTGCCCAGAGGGACTCAGCAGCCCTCTGCTATTCCTCCTGTCCCCCCAGTCTCCACCCCTACAGCCCTCAGCGGCCTCTCATGGTGCTCAACACAGGCTCTGTACACATAAATCCATTGTAGCTCTCCCCACCCCCGCGTACACCCTCCTGCAGCTCCCCACTCTGCACTCCTTCCTCCGCAATATTTACTGAATATCTCTGTGCCAAGCAGTGTCTGAGCTCTGGCAATGCTGTGGCAAGTGAAACAGACAGAAAGGCCTGCCCTGTGGACCTCTGGGGGGACTGGCCAATAGACAGGAGAGATAAATGCATTCGTGGCCTACTGCTGAATAACAAATTACCCCCAAATTCAGTGGCCTAAAACAAACAAGCATATATCATCTCCCCAGTTTCTGAGGGTCGGGAACCTGGTCCTGGTGTTCTGGGGCCTCTGGCCCACGATTTCTCAGTATGCTGTTGTCCAGCCACTGGCGGTGGACACTGCCCCTCGGAAGGCTCCCCTGGGAGGGGGTCTGCGTGGCAGCTCCCTCACGAACCCTGGCCAGGCCTTGGTCCTTTGCCACGTGGGTGTGTCCCCAGAGCTGCCACACATCGTGGTGAGCAACTCAGAGAGGGAGAAGGACAGCCCACCACTTCTGGCGCATTCTACTGGCCGGAAGCAAGTTCCTGAGCGCAGCCCCCACTCAGGGGCCGATCCGCGAAAGCTGGAACACGGGAGGAGGGATGGTTGGGGCCGTCTTAGAGGCCGCGGGCACAGTGCGGAAACCAGAATAGACTCCCTATGGGGACAAGTCTGGAAAACGAGTACATAAAAGAGGAGAGAGCACAGGAGATGCTGGGCGGGCTGTGGACCTCCATGTAAGGGACTAGGGAAGGCCTCTGAGAAGGCGACCTTGACTGAAGACCTGAAGGAAGCGTGTGAGTCTGGGGCAGGGTGCGCCAGGCAAAGGTCCTGAAGCAGGAGCCGGAGGGTGTCACCCAGGGGAAGGTCAGGGCGGGGCCAGGCTGGCCTGCAGGGGACGCACCAGCATGGCCTGAACACCCCCCAAGCCGCCTCCCTGTGGCCGCCAGGGTGCACCCTCGCCCTCTTGCAGAGCCTGGAGCAGACCTGTGCTGTGCCGGCTCCGGGCCTTCCTCCATGCGGGCTCCCTCGGCCGCGATCCCCTGGCCTGGCGCGCACGGCCCCCTCTTGTCCAGGTCACAGCTCAAACGGCTCAAACTGCTACCGAGAGTTGCACGTTCCCTGTGTTTATTATTTGTCGTCCCGTTAGATCTCACAAGCCACAGGCGACCGGAGACCTTGTCCGCGGGTGAAGGTGTGCCCGAGGCCGAGGACTCCGGGCACAAGAGAGGGGCCGGGCGAAGGCGGGGAACGGACGGGTCGTACTTTATTCCCTCTGCACCGGGCCGGCGTGCGGCTTGGCGGATCTGAAGACGACGTGAGAAACATCTCGCGGACGGCGAGGGCCGGTGTGGACTGCACGAGGAGGCCGCTGGCACCGCCGGGGGCGAAGCGCAAGCCCGGGGAACCCCGGACTCGGCGGGGCTGCGGGCGCGCAGCTGCGGGGGGCGGGGAGGCGGGCAGAGGCCCCCAGGCGGGCCTGGGGACCCCGCCCCGCCCCGCCCCGGCCGGAGAGCCCCGCCCCAGGCTCGCAGGCCCCGCCCCGCGCCCTAAGCTCGGTCGGCCGCGCCCCCTGACCCCGCGCGGTTCCGGGGCTCGGGGCGGGGACAGGGCCGTCAGCCCCGCCCCGCGCAGGCCCCGTGGGCCCCGCTCGCGCCCCGCCCCCCGTTCCGGAGCTGGGCTCCCGCGCTGCGCCCTAGGCCTGCAGGCGCGCGGGCCGGTGGGTGGCCCTCCGCTCGCCGTGGTGCCATGGTGCCGCCGCCGCCGCCGCTGTCACCGCCTCTTTGCACGCTGCCACCGGGCCCCGGGCCCCCGCGCTTCGTGTGCTTTTGCGAGGGGGAGGGAGAGGACGGAGGCCCCGGCGCCTTCAACCTCTAGTGAGTGACGGCGCGCGGGGCGCTGGGGGCGCGGACAGCTCGGGGGCGGGCCGCTCTGACAGCCGCTCCCCCCGCAGTGTGACCGACGCAGCGGAGCTATGGAGCACCTGCTTCACGGCGGACAGCCTGGCGGCCCTCGTGGGTAGCGGGGCTCCCGGGCGGGCCCGGAAGCCCCCAGCACCCCCGACTGCAGTGCGGACCACCTATGAGATGGAGGGGGGCGGTCTGGGATCCCCCCCGGGGTGGGGGGAGGCGGGTCTGGACACCCTTCCCCGAGCTTTGGAGCTGTAGGCCTAAGATTGGCCCGGCCTCCGGGGGTGGCTCTGGATCAGGCAGCTTTGGGGTGGTTCCAGGGTCTTGGGCAGCTGGTGACCAGCCCCTGTGCCCTGTAGAAAGCCCGTTTTGGCCTGAGCGCGGCTGAGGATATCACTTCCCGGTTCAGGTGAGCGTCTGGGCAGGGAGGAAGGGCGGGTGCGGAGCAAGGGGGTCTGGGCACAGCACTGAGCACCGCTCCTTTCCCAGGGCAGCCTGCGAGCAGCGAGCTCTGACTTTCGTCCTGCAGGAGGACCGAGCATCCCTCACGCTTTCAGGGGGTCCCTCAGCACTGGATTTTGACCTCTCCAAGGTGCCGGGCCCAGAGGCAGCCTCCAGGTTGCAGGCGCTGACACTGAGGCTGGCCGGCCAAGTGTGCACCTTGACGAGGCAGCTGGCAGGTGCGGTGGGGGCTGTGCCCGAGCCTTCACTGGGCCCCGTCCCTGCTAGCGCCTGTACTCTTGGCTTTCTTCCCCAGCTGCGGAGGTGACAGCTGCCAGCCCCAGAAAGAGCCCTTGTCTGGGGCCTCAGCTCTTCTTACCGGGTAAGGCCTGTCACCCGTGACTTTGGCTGGGGCTGTGTTCTTCCCTGGAACAAGAGTCCAGCTCCAGGGAATGCGTGTGAAGAAGGGGTTGTGGCCCTGGAACTGGACCGGACTCAGGACCCCCCTCCTGTCCTGTTTCCCTCAGACCCAGATCCTCAGAGAGGCGGCCCTGGACTCGGGGTCAGGAGGCGGTGTCCAGGAGAGTCCCTCATCAACCCCGGCTTCAAGAGGTACTCAGCCACTCGGCCACTTGTCCCTCCCTCCGGTGCCGGGGGTGCTGCTGTACCCCCCGCCCCCTCCTCCACAACACCACAGCGTCACTTCCCCTTCTCTCCTAGTAAGAAACCAGCCGGTGGTGTAGACTTTGAGAGCCCCTGAGGGTGCAGCAGAGTATGATCCTGCCAGCAATCTGCCTGTGAGGTGGGGACAGCCTTTGAGAGCCGTCTGCGCGCACCCATCCTACCGGAGGGTCGGGCACGCCTGCTCCCCACACCCCTTCTCCGTTGAATAAATGCTTCCTCGCAGGGAGGAACCGGCCACACTCCGGCTCCTGGGGACTGGCTGGGGGAGGGGGTCAGAGATCTCCCTGGGACCTGGGACCTGGCCGGGCACCATAAGCTGTAAGCTGTTGCAGCGGCCTTCGCACTCCCTGGGGCGGAGGAGGGGCAGGGGTCCCTAGTTCCGGGCTCACCCAGCTGCCCCTGCCTGGTCTGCATAGGAGCCAAGGGCCTGGAAGGCAAGGCAGGGCTCCTCAAGGCTGGATCCCGGTTGCCAACTACTCCAGGCACACACTTCTCCCAGACCCCACCCGACGGAGCCGGCCTCAGGTATCCCACACTGCATGCACACTGGCCCCTGTGGAAGTCCGGTGGGGGGGCACCTGCTCCCTGGAGCAGGGCTGAGGAATGTGGGCTGGCCCCACCCACTGACCTGGAGCCCCTAGGTGCCCAGGCTGGGCTCCTGGTCCCCACCCTCCTTGGCCAGCCTGCTGCCCCACCCTGGCCTGACTGGTTTGGGAGCCCAATCCAGTCCCCCGCCACCCCTGATAGGGTGAGTGGAGGGCTGGGCAGAACCACCCACTGGGTTCTCTGCCCCTGTCGTTCTGGGCTATCAGGTGGAGCTGTGGGATCGTGGTGGGGGTTTGGGGGTGGCAGAAATGGAGGGCCCTCTGGTCCCTCGGAGGTCAGGACACGTTCCCTGGGGCACAGGTGCCTTTATGGGGCTGTAGGAGAGGGGGCAGGTGGTGGCTGGAGACGGCGGGGGAGGGGTTAGCGGGGGCGCACGGCCATCCGGTAGGCCGCGAGGATCTCGGCGCTGGATGGACACGTGTACTTGAACTCCTTCACTTGCCGCGCGCTGTCCAGGTAGCGGCGGACGCCGCACAGCTCGGCGGGTATGGGCGCTCGGCGGAAGTGCGTGCACACCGTCTGCGGGCGAGGGGCGCAACGAGGTCAGGGCCTTGTGGAGCGCGCGCCCCGCGCCCCGCGCCCGCGCGGTCACTCACGTCCACGATGTGCAGCTTGGGCAGCAGGCTGCAGTCCGCCAGCGTGAGCTCGTCGCCGTCCAGGAAGCGGCGGCGCGACTCGCGGAGCTGGGGTTCCCGCACGCGCTCGTGCCCCAGGGGCGCGCGCAGGTAGCGGTCCAGCCTGGTGAGCGCTCGCAGCAGCGTCTGGTACAGGGCTGGGGGGTGGGGCGCAGTGAGGCCCGGGCCTGGGCCAACTCCCTCCACCCTCACCGGGCCTCCAGAGCCGCCTCACCATCGTCCTGCGTGGGCACCGGGTTCTTGATGAAGGCCGAGAACCTGTGAAAGACGTCGTTGCCCGCTGTGGAGGACTCCCCATAGCGGGGCGCCAGGCTGGGGAATCTACGGGGAAGTAGGGGACCTCTGGTCAGACCCTCATGCTACACCCCCTTCCCCGCGAGACCCGCGGTGTTCTTCCTGGGCTTCTCCTTGTGGGGCCCCGTTACCCCCCCCCCCAGGCCGGGAGGCCTCACTCAGGGGGCCCCAACGTCTCCTCCAGAAACTCCTCGATCTGCAGTGTGTCTGTTTTGGCGTCGCCATCGTAGAGAAGGATGGGCAGCTGTGAGCCAGGGGCAAAGTCCTTAAGCACATCCAGGGACCTGTGGGCATGAGGCAGCGGGAGAAGTGGGTGGTCAGGAGGGCCAGAGACCAGGGAGCGGCCCCTGTGGAGGCGGGGGCTCACCTGCGAGTGTCCACGGTGGTCAGGGTGAAGGGCACACCCTTGAGAAGCAGGAGCATGAAGAGCCGCTGGCAAGAAGGGCAGGGTCCCACGCTCTCGCCGTCTTCGCTGGCCTGGGGTGCGGGCAGTAGAGGAGCGGGGCAGAGAGCAGACCTAAGAATTCCGCCAGAGAGGGCCCTGCCTCCCACCGCCAAGAGCCTGGAATGATCTGGGCCTCCAGCTTGGTTAGGCACAGCCTGGACAAGTGGTGGCTGAGAGCCCTTGACTGGGTCCTGGGAGGTGGCAAGGGGCATGGGGACCCGGGGGTGGGACCCAAGCTCTGGAGCTCAGCCCCTCCACCCTTATCTTCAGCACCTGGGGCTCTGGCCCTGCAGGCGGGTCACAGGGGTGGGGTGGGCCGAGTGAGCTGTTTTCTGAGTGATTCACCTGCCAAACTGGACACTGGCTGTAGGCCGGTAGGCCTGTCCCCTACCCCGACGGTGGGGAGGAGGCCAGGCTCTGGCAGCCCCTGTACAGGGATCCACAGATCTGGGCAGTGATGTGAGCATCTGGGGCTCAGCTGGCCCAGACCCCTCCCACTGCACTGACCTCAAGCTCCACGTGGGCCTGGCCTCCAGCGGCCTGATCGTTACCTCCCCACCGAGGGGCTTTTTCTCCAGAAGGGTTGGGCTGGGTCCAGGAGCTAAGGCTGGGAGTTGGCGCCCCCATGCCCTTGGGGACAGCTCACTGGGCTCTCCCCCCCCCCCCGCCCCCCGTCCTGGTCCCTCTTTCTAAGTCTCTGTAGAGCTACGCGAGCCCACTCCCAGGGAGAGGGTGCAGACCCTCTGCCTGCCCCAGAAAGCAGAGCCCCCCGCAGAGCACACTCGTCCCAGAGGCTGCCCTCCCGGCCCGGGGCACCTTGACAAACAGCTGGAGCTTGGCAGTCTCCGCCATTGCTGGGAGCAGCAGCAGCAGGGGCAGCAGCGGCGCTGGCGACAGCAGGGCAGGGGTGGGGGCCTGGAGAGTCCTTTAAGACTCCGGGTGTGCCCCGCCCTCCCCCATCCAGGGCCCGCCCTGACGAGTCACCCATGCAGGTGGTTGGTGCTCGTGTCCAAGCATGAGGGTGTGACTGGGGTGCTGAGTGCACAGGGTTGTGCGGGATGGAGGCGGAGGCCACGGCCTCAGAGGCAGGGAGAGAAGGTGCCAGTCTGGGAGGAGGGCGCTCGGGATCAGACTCACTCCTGCCATGAACTCCGCAGCCATCCTGTTGTCTGCCGGGCTTCCCTCAGAAAGCTGGGGAGCGCGTCGGAGAAATAAATGAACAGCCGGGCCCCAGCCTCAGTTTCCCAGTCTGCCTACCTCCCGGAAAGGGACGCCCCTCCCATCACTGGGTTGGGTCTGGCAGAGCCCCGCCCCCCAGGCCAGCCCACATTCCAGGAGAGCTGCGGGCCTGCTCAGGTGTCCCAGGTCAGCCAACCCCACACCTCCTGCCCTCCCAGTGGGGTTCCAGGCAGGCTTTCCTCCTCCCCCTCCCCCTGCCCTTCCTCCTCCTCCTTTCTTCTTCTTCAAGATTTTATTTATTTGACAGAGCGCGAGCACAAGCAGGGGGAGCAGCAGAGGAAGAGGGAGAAGCAAGCTCCCCACTGAGCAGGGAGCCCTACCCGGGGCTCAATCCCAGGACCCGGGGGCCACGACAGGAGCCAAAGGCAGACACCCAAGCGACTGAGCCACCCCGGCATCCCAGCTCTTCCCCTTAACTTTTCAAAAGAAGCACCAGGAGGTTTCGAAGCCACAACCTCCCGACTGCCCTTGCCGTTGGCTGGAAGGAACCCACGAGGACACATTGGGTGCGCACACCCCGAACCTGCTGCGCCCAGTCAGGCCCGCCCCCACTGCCCCCGACGCAGTAGGGGGCGTGTCCCGAGGGAGGGGCCTGCGAAGGCTCCGCCCACCGGCGGCGGAGCTGGGGATCTGCCCGCCCCTTTGGCTCCTCCCCCAGGGCCTCTCCGGGACCCCGCGGGGTTCAGGGCTCCCAGACGCAGCCTGGTGCTGACCCTGCAGACGAGCTGGGCACTGGCTCCCTTCCGGGTCACCAGTATTTCTGCTGTCGGCCTGCTCATCAGCTTCCCCGGGGCACGCGCCACAGCCCCAGGGAAGGGCCCAAGACCCCCGACGGCCGCAGGTGCTCCCCCCACGGCCGCAGGTGCTCACCAGCCTTCCCATGGGTATTTCTGTGCGTATAAAAATACCCTTAGGCATCCGTAGAAACAGTCGTGAAACGGACCAGTGACCAGGTGGTTCAGAGAAAAGATCTACCAACACAGGATGTGTGGGAGTGCGTCTCACTGCACACTTATTTCAAGAGACAAAGTAGGACAAGCCTGGGTTCAGGGCTGCAGTGGGCAGGTGTGCGGAGCGAGGGTGTGAGCTCGCATTGCTCAGGCCCCCCGTTGGCTGGCAAAACTGTCCAGACGGCTCAGCCCCCCGGGAATCAGCCCATAAGTGTCCCTGTAAATGCAATTGGGACATATAAACAGATCCAAGCGGGGTGCCTGAGTGGCTCAGTGGGTTAAGCCTCTGCCTTCAGCTCAGGTCATGATCTCGGGGTCCTGGGATCGAGTCCCTCATCGGGCTCTCTGCTCAGCGGGGAGCCTGCTTCCTCCTCTCTCTCTGCCTGCCTCTCTGCCTACCTGTGATCTCTGTCAGATAAATAAATAAAATCTTTTAAAAAAATAAAATTAAATAAACAGATCCATGCCATCCCCTGGGTGGCAAGCCCCCCCGCCACCCACCATCTGTGGGAGAGTCATGGTAGGTTCACAGGGGAGGACAGAGGAAGGGAGCCTCTCTGGTCTCAGGTTGGGTGGCGTTGTGGCTGAATTGTGCCCCCAACCTTCACAGTGGAAGTCCTAGCCCCCAGCACCTCAGAATGTGACGTTAGGACACAGAGCCTTTACAGAAGTCTTCATGTCGGAATGAGGTCGTCAGGAGGGGCCCTACCCGAATCAGACTGTGTCCTTGTAAACGGGAGATTTGGGCACAGACACACACGGTGGGGGGGCTGCCATGTGAGCACGGAGGCAGAGATCAGGGCGGTAGACAAAGCCAGGAATACAGAGGTCTGTCGACAAACCACCGGCAGCTGGGAGAGCGTGGACCAGACCCTCACCCACAGCCTCAGAGAGAATCAGCCCTGCCCACACCTTGATCGGGCACCTCGGGCCTCCAGACGGTGAGGGAACACGCTCCTGCCATTTTACAGGCCCAGTGTGGTAAGTGACAGCCACCGTAGCCCAAGACCAGCGACAGAGCAAGCGGAGCCATCTGTCAGTACATGTCCGTCAGGGTCTGCTCCCAGCCTTCTGCGAAAAGCCAAGAGGATGTCCTCAGGCACGTTTGGATTTCCTACTGTGACTTCACAAGCCATGTTTTTAAGTCAATGAGACCAGAAGCTCACAGTCACCAACCTTAACTGGCCCAAAAGTTACAGTGGGGCCCCGAGCAAACCTCCCTGCCACCCTGCAGCCCTGCATCCACAGAGCAGTCCCTAGAGGGCCCGCAGGTCTGGGGTGTGCTTCTCACGCCCTTCCCTTCCTTGCGGCCCCGGGAGCGGCCCCAGCTCCCCAGCCCCCAGGAGCTGCCGGCCCGGGCCTCATCCACACAGCGGCAACGCTCTTCTCCTGAGGCCCCTGGCTGCCGGCCCTTCCCAGCGTTTCAGTTCCGAAAGGAGACACAGACTTGCAGGGGGACGGGGAGGGGGCCCTGGGACGGCAGTGGGGTCCTGGCGGGAGCGTGGACAGGTGTTTCCTGGCTCTGCCCCCAGAGAGAGCTAAGGGAGCCCACCGGGAGTGCGGACGGGAGTCCCAAATACCATTCCGCCCGGGAAATGGGCTCCTCGGAAAACAGCCGAATCCAGATGTGGGGCAGGGAGACACAGCGCAGACCTGGACATTGTAATGGAGAAGTCTCCAAATTAAATGTCCTGGGCAGGTCAAAAGGACACAGAAGCCACCATGGAGGGGTTCCCACTGGCTGAATCCGGGTAGTTTGTGTGTAAAAATGACAGCAACAGAATCGGACTCTTACATGAAATTAAAACAGTAAATATTACGTGTATTTTCCAACAATAAAAAATCTTTATGGGGCGCTTGGGGGGCTCCGTCAGTGAAGCCTCTGCCTTTGGCTCAGGTCATGATCCCGGGGTCCTGGGATGGAGCCCCACGTTGAGCTCCCTGCTCCGCAGGGGGTCTGCTTCTCCCTCTCCCTCTGCCCCTTACTCGTGCTCTAACACAAATAAATAAAATCCTAAAAGAAAAATCTTTAAGATGACAGCAATGAATGGCATGTTGATTTTTTAAAAACCGGTGAATCCACAGTGATGTATTTCTAAAAGGGGAGACATTTGAAGAAAACGTCAGCTAATAAGCACGGAAAGGATGAAATAATCAGAAAACTACCGTCTGGGGGTACCTGCGTGCTCAGTGGGCTAAGCTTCCGGCTCAGGGTTTCCGCTCGGGTGCTCAGGTCACGATCTCAGGGTGGTGGGATCAAGTCCCACTTAGGGCTCTGCGCTCAGCGGGGACACTGACCACGGCCAAGCTTGAGGAACAGATTCTAGGACCCTTCCTTGTGGCCAGTCTCCAGGCTCCACTGGTGCCGGGCCCGAGCCCCCTACCCCCACCCTGTTCCTGGGAGCCTCCACACTGCCCCCAAACTTCACACATGTTCCCTCCTGGACTCCCTCCTGGACTCCCAGCCTAGAGGTCACCTCCTGCAAGCCCCCCATCCCGGATGAGACTGACACAGCCCAGCAACGCTGCCAGCCTGTGGGCCCTAAGTGGGCCCTGGGCTCCGGGGAAGGGAGAAGGCAGCACGGAGAGCACGCCCGCCCAGTCGGCAACAAGGCACAAAGAAACCCACTCAGGACCTGGCTCCTGGCAGGGGGTGTAGGCTGTATGGGTGGGGCAGGGGAGGGGACGGAGCCCCTGCCTCCGAAGTCTCCCGGTTCCAGCTGCTGTTCAGAGGGAGGCGGGCCCCTTGTCCTCCTCCAGGCTGACCTAGCCACCTTCCCGTTACCCTGGCCTCAGTGCTCGGGGACATGGCATCCGTGCCTGTGAGGCACACACCATAAGCTTGCGTCGGGGGGCCCATCTTCACCCCAACACCCCGCTCCACACGTGTAGGCCTGCATGGGCTTTTTTATTTATTTTAAAACAAACATCTGTGCACTATGTACAGGTCCGGCTCCCGGGTGGGTGGGTGTGCGGGGGGCCAAGCTGGGTGGGAGAGCAGTGGCAGCTGGAGGGGATGGGGAGGGGATCCGGCCCTTGTTGGCCAGTGGGGCCAGCTTCTCCATTCCTGCCGCCCGGCCTGCCACCCGGAGTCGTCCCCTCCCTGGCCCACGCCCACAGCTTCCCTCAGGTGGGGGCTGTCGTGCAGGACAGCAAGAGGAGGAAGCCTCTTCCTAAAGCAAAATAAATAAGGGCTTGGGGACGGGACCAACCCAGTCCCGGCCTCAGCCCCAGACCAGCCCATCAGTCCTGGGGTCAGAGCAAAGCCCATTCAGGACATCAGGCCTGGTGAGCAGAGTCTGCTGGTACCTGGTGGCCTATGTCACCCCAGTGGTCCGAGGGCTGGCAGGCAGAGCTGGACAGGGGCAGAGACTAGGGGCCAGCCAGACCCCAAGGCTTTAAGGCAGAGCAGGGTGAGGGTGTGCGTAGCCCAGGGCCAGGCCGACCTTTGGCACAATCAAGGGAGGACAGCGCAGTGGCCTCAGGCAGGGCTGAGGACAGATGAGGGGCTGGAGGGGGCAGGAAGCCCTTGGTCCTGGACCTCCCATTCCAGGGCCCTGTGGGCGGGCACTGGGGTGGGGCCCAGTGGGGTGGGCACTGGGGTGGGGCCTCGGCCACCGCCTGACTTCTGTCCCCACAGCATGTCCTTGAGCCAGCACGTGGCGGTCAGCAGAGCGTGTCTGTATTGAAGGAGAGCTGGGCCTGGTGGACAGAGAGCAGGCAGGCCGGACTTGGGGAAGCGTCCACAACCCCCCCCCGGGCCTGGAACGGGGCACCCCTCCTCCGTCTCCCTGGAATCCTCAGTGGCGAAACCTCCTGTGGTCTCTGTCCGCAGAGTCTGGCGGCTGCCGCGTTTCCTGCTCTCTCCCGGCCCTGGGCTCTGCTCCTTGCTACCCTGCTCTGCCTGTCCCTGAAGTCCTGCACGGTTCCCAGGCAGCCACGGGGTCTGCCGTGAGTCTGTATGTGCCTGTGCCGCGGTCTCCTGTGTCCGCCCCTAGCCCTCAGTCTCAGACAGCTCCCTCTGTGCCCTGGAGCTCAGGACCCCAAACGTCCCCAGGTGACCCTCCCTCACACCACTCCTCAGGCCAAGCCCGAGACCTCTCGCCACGTGGCTCACCCGCTCCTCCTCGAAGCTGATGAGGCCCTCGTCCTCCGTGTCCAGGTCCTCGGGCTCATCGGCCACCAGGGCCCTTAACTCCGTGGGGGCGGGCCGCGGCCGGAAGAGGCTGAGCAGGCGGCCCAGGGGCGAC